AATACTGTCATGTTGATGATAATTATTATGGTCATTATAGGATTGACATGTTTATTTCATATCTTGAACTCTTTTTCATTATATTTGACGAGAATATGTGAAAGAACATTGAGTTTTTTGGGTCTGTATTTTTAGCTGGAATCATCTGATTTGTTTTTGGCTTTGTGTAATTAGCATAAAGAATATTGATAAATCTTAATTAATGAATAATTGAGATATAATTAGAGGAATTTAAGAAAAATTACTATAGATGGACAAAATGCAACTTTCTGTGACAGAGGGTCATACGACAAAGTTCTTCCTTGACGGATCTGTTAAGCATTTCAAGTTTGGATCCTTGTGGCCTAGAATTTCTATTCATTTATGATCTAGATAGACTTTATTCTTATTTAAATTTAGTTTATATATCAAGAAATTAGGATTTTAAAAAATCCTATTTCAGGGTTTTCTTAATTTTGACTGATATTTCAGTCATTTTTTTGGTTTTACTGGCACATACATATTGTTTTGGCTAGTGACCGATACGGGTGGTCGATACAAGATAGCGGTTCATGGTTTCAATATATAGTTGTCAATGCTTGTCAGATGGTGATGATGCTATGCTTCCTTTACCATTTGGAATTATCGATAAAGATAATGATAAGAAACTGGATTTGGTTCTTATCTCATTTGCATGGCTTGGTCAAAGCCAACTTTGACGACCTGCCAAAGCTCATGTGCTTGTCTTATAAACATAACGGTATAATAGATGCGGAAGACTTCTAACTTACTGACAGTCTTTCATGGAATCTGCATGTGCCATATTATTGACAATTTTCACAATGAATTCTGCAATGCTTTGCTCATAAATCTGTTCTGAGAAAGCATTCTCAGTCATAAATGATAATGAATACGAAGCTAAAATATCAGCAGCTGAAGGAATATCACCTGATGCTACCTTTTGGATTAGAAAATTTTCTCTTTGGGCAATTACTTATTTTCAGGGAATTATTTTTGGTAATGACTGCAAGTATATTCAAAACTCTGAGGAGTTGGATATTTGATATTCTTGGGCTCCCAATTTTTGACATGATAAGAGTGCATCCAGCAGCAGCTAGTGACTTGGTTTTATGAATGATATGAGTTGAGGATGAAGTAGACAACCAGCCCTTGTGCCTTCTGCTGAGCATCACCTATTAGAAGCTGCAGAAAGTGCATGGGTCTTCTGAGTAGTGTAATTGGATGAGTCAGAGGGGGAGGGTATTTCTTGTGTTGATATAATCAATCAATTGTGGTTTTGTAGTGGATGGAAATTAAATGGTTTGCTTTGTGTATATGGTGTAGCTGCACTCTGCTGTCGCATAATGTTCATTAAATATTTAGAGAACATTTTCATGGTTGCCACTTGTAGGAAGGCCTATTCACAGACTTCACATCTGATTCACAAAAAATAAGAGCCTTTGGGAAGCGCAAGATGAAAAATAGGGTTTGATTGGGTATAAAATCCTACAAAATCCCGAAGGCCTCCAGGAAGGCCTAGAAAGTGAAATAGAGTCTGCCCCGAGGGCTATGGGAAATTGAAATATGTTGTCCACTGTACATTTGGTTGTTATCACTGCCTTTGCTACTGTCTGCTTTGCTTGAATAATGCTTGTAAACTGTCTTGCCCTTTAATCTGTATGTAAACTGCTTTGCTACTCATCTCTGTTCAACATCATAAACTGTCTTTTTTTTTCGGATAACAACTCGACTATTCTCCTAATATTTGAAGTTTGCATTGATTGGATGGTCTTTTTCATGATGTATTTTTCTTTACTTGATCTGATGTTCTTGCAAAGGAGCTTATTTTCTTGGAATATGTGTATTGTACATCTCTCATGTGTGTCCAACGTGCTTGTATTTTAGACATATAACTTGACATCTCTACCGCATTATATTTGGTAACCGAAGGATGTAGTTAATCAGCTTGCAATGTTAGTACGATTTCTATGGTAGTTAATCGAAGTTATGGAAGAATGTTCCTCTGCCCCTGCGAAGCAACGTTAGGTGCGACTCCTCTTCCCCATACGGCGAGCAGCCATATATGTTGGTGGATCTCACCAGCAGCAACGGAGGAGATGGCTGAGCCTAATGTCGCTACTAGCGGTTCCGATTGTCTTCGCCAAGATTGTTTCTTGGGTTACCATGGTCGAGAAGACTCGCTTTCACGGTCAAGCGAGTCTTCTCCACTCTTCTTTTTCTTCGGCTTCTATATCATCACCATGCTAAAACTAACTATAAGGTGAAGGTGAAGGAAAGGTTCGCAAGGGAGAAGTCTTCAACGTTGAGCTCGATGTTACGAGGATTAATTATATATTATCATATGTCGTTAGACTTCTTTAGTATCTTGATCTCTAGACAAAAAATTTATATTAAAATTTTTATAATTATGAAAATAAAATATTTAATTTCATTTATTCTAATGTTGTTGGTCTCATTGATGGACGATATAGTATATGATAACATGTGCAGGAATGATATAAAAACGATGGGCAAAAAGATAATTTCAATACTTCAGTTATGTTTTCTTTCTTCTTAGTCGACTGTTGTGGTGGTGGTAGACGACAGTACCATTAGAGGGTCGCGGGTGGTTGTTGTGGTTGCGATCAATAAGAAAAATGTAGTGGTCGACGAGAACGAGGCAATGACGTCCTTAGAGATGGGTTGGGTAGAGTCTTAGGAATTAAGGGACTTTTGTTGCTTCTTGCAAGGGGAGGAAGAGGAGGGAGAGGGATGTCGAGAGGTGAGACAAGAGCAGGGGAGGAAGAGAACGATGTAGATGTCAACACTCTACATCTGTGTTGACGTCGATGTTGACGTAGGTGTAGAGCGACACCGATGCAGAGTGTCACTCGTCATCTATATCAACGTTGACGCAAATGCAAAGCGGTAAAAAAGGGGAAGAAGGATGAGGGATCGGGGAAGGGGGGAAGGAGAGAGGAGGAGGGAGAGCTACGGACGAGAGGTGAGGCAAAAGGATAGGAGGAAGAGGATGACATAGATGTCGACACTATGCATTTGCATCGACATCGCTCGATATTTGTGTTAGCATTGACATAGATGCAGAGCAGCGAAAGGGGGGAAGAAGAATGAGAGACCAGGGAAGGGGAAAAAAGTATGAGCATCGTCCTGTATCTGCATCAGCATCGACGTAGATACTGAAAGGCGTCAACGCAAATGCAGAGCGTTGACATCTATGTCATCCTCTTCTTCTTCTCTCTTTGTCTCACCTCTCACCGTCACTGTCCCTCCTTTTTCTTCTCCTCCCCCTCTTAAGAAGTCGTAAAAGTTCTTTCTCAACTCCACCTCCAGGACTTTACTTGACCCAGCTCCAAGGACATCTCTATATCATTCTCGCTGATCACTATATTGTTCTCAATGATCATAACCACAATAGCCACTCACGGCTCCCAATAATGCCATCATCTGTCACCACTACAACAATTTACTAAGAAGAAAGAAAATATAACTGAGATATTAAAATTATATTTTTTAATGTTATTTTCGTATCATTTCTATACGTGTTATCATATTACTATATTTTTTATCGATAAAACCAACGACGTTAGGATAAATAAAATTAAATATTTTAATTTTATAATTTAAAAAAATTTATATAATTTTTTTAAGTATAAAAATTAAAAAGTTAAAAAGGTTTAACTATAAGAGTTAATACGTAATTAGATGAGATGAGGATGTCGCCGAGGATGCTGCCGAGGGTCTCCTCGATGGGAGGCGGCTGGATGCGGATTTTGGCTTCTTATCATATCACATGAGTTTTAATTGTAGCAAAACTCAACGAAGAGCTCTTTTTGTATCGATCGTTTTACTTTTAACTTTGACATTAATTTTACACATGATGTTATGTATAAATGTTGTCGTCAAAGAAATAAATGGAGTGACTAAAAATAAAATAAAGTGGAAATCCAAATGTGTCTTAAAAGTTGTAGAAAATTCGATGCGGGCCCCCAGGGTTGGTTTTTGTGTGTAGAATCTTCGGGACAGAGCGCATTAACGCTGGTTAGTCCCTTTATCATCATTGGGACACCTTACCATCGAGTGGCGTCTGGGCCACCAAAACTAAACCCGTTCGCGTTTCCCCATTGTTTGGTCTTCCCCTTCGTTTCTTGCCGCGTTTCCTCTCCATCTCCCCATCGAAGAATCGGAGAGGAGATCCATCATCCATGGTTGGAGGAGTTCCCAAGATGCAGAAGACCTCGCCGCCCACTTACGCCCCCAACCCCGCCTCCTCACCGTCGGCCTGGCCCCAGGCGATGGAATCCCCCGCGCCGCCGATCAGATCGGCAGCGGCGGCGCCATCTTCCAGTCCCTCCCCGGCCGCCCGCACCGCCGACCTGGTTTCTCGGTTCAAAGAGCAGGGAAAGGCCCTGATCGCTGCTCAGCGCCCCTGGCCGCAGCTCCTCAATACCACCGCCCTCTCCCGTCCCGCCAACGCCGGCGAGGCCGTCGCCCGCCTCCGCCGCAACCTCGCCTACTTCCGCTCTAACTACGCCCTCTTCGCGATTGCCGCCCTCTCCGCCTCCCTCCTCTGGCACCCCGCCTCCCTGGTCGCCTTCGTCGCCCTCGTCGCCGCCTGGTTCCTCCTCTACTTTTCCCGCGACCAGCCGCTCGTCCTCTTTGGGCGCCTGATTGACGACGGGACTGTCCTTGGAGCCCTCTCCGTAGCCACGGTCGTCGCCCTACTGTTTTCCGACGTGGGATCGACTGTCTTCGGAGCCATCATGGTGGGGGCGGCGCTCGTCTGCTTGCACGCGGTGTTCAGGGCAACGGATGATCTGTTTCTCGATGAAGCAGAGGTTGCAAACGGCGGATTGGCTGTCCCTGCGTTTGGGATTCCAGTGCAGCCGCAGGCCTATGTTCGGATTGTGTGATCGTGCTTGCTTGGAATTGGGGCATTCTCGGATACCATTGTGCTGTTTCAAGATGATATTGCTGATTGTTCGTGTTGATTGCTTGGTTTGTTGTGACTGATACTATGGCCCTGCACTGCTTCATCTCTGGAGCTGTCTCTGCCAGAGCGCATAGGTATATGATTGCTTTCTTCTGTTATATCTTTCTACCTTTTATGGTCCTGTGGATGCATTGTTGTGGATCATTTTGTGTGGCATTTATATGGTGATGACATTGTTATTAGTCAGATAGATATCAAACATTAAAGCTTACTGTTTGCCTTTTTTCATCTTGCATAAACTGTGCTTGCTTGGTGGAAGATTGCAAAATATTAATTACTGGCTTTACCCAATGGGTTGGTGGTGGAACTATCTTGTCATCGTATGAAAACTTTACTTTAGTTTTTCTCAAATATTAATAAATGGCTTGTTTACATATTAATCATAGTTATGCTTATGCTATAGCATCTCAATGTCTCAAGTAATAATGTTTTTCTTTTAAATTTGATTCTTTTGGTTTTGATTCTGAAATATTTATATATTCTTCAGTTTGGCCCATAACTCTTTATGTAAATTTTAATGTATGTTAGTTGTTTCTTACTGCAAATTCCCATCAGTGCCTATAGGGACTTGATTACTGTTCTATGCTATGGCTGAAGGTTTTGCCTTAGCTGATAAATAGCTGTATTTCTGCTGGAAGCTATCACTCTTTTATTCTTATTCTCTAAATATTAATTATATTTTTTGTTTCTTTCCTGTTAATGCTTTGTCATCGTTGTTATTTTCTCTAGGTGATGAAGATGCAATATCTTTCCTATTTAAAATTCGTATCATCAGACCTTCAGACATAGTACACAAACATGATTTATGTATCTTTTTCTCTTTTTTTTTTTTGTAACCTGGTCATACGTATGTTTGCAAAAGTGTGATCATGAGCATATCCTTTGATTGCAGTTGACCATCCTAACAGTAGATCATTGATGGTAGAATTTTCTGCACAGCACTCCTGTCACTCATAATTTGCTTATTACTGTCTGTCATGCATTTTTAACATTTCTTACACTCTGAATTCTTTTGAAACAATATCCCCTTCTATAGGTAATGCATATATTGATAGAAAAGGCAAATGTTGGTTTTCTCTGTGCATTCATGTGGTCATGTACATATTTTGTCTCGTTACACAGTTTGTGAAGAGTTGGATATTTTGGCTGTATGTGTGTTGTATAATCTGTTCTACCAAATTTTGTTTCAACTGTGCCAACAAAATGGAAAAAAAATTACATTATGTTGTTTCATTTCTCTGTAGAGCTTGTGATTATGGAAAAGTTCCTACCTATGATTACAAGAGAGGGAAGTGTATCTCATGTCATGGAAACATTTCTTTTTCTTTTTTCTATCACATATGAGCTTTCCTAAGCGTTCTTTGTTGCAGAAGTATTTGTGATTTATCCACTCGAGTCTTTCTTCATGATGGAGATAACGTGCTCAGATATTAGCTCTTTTTAGGCATAAACTTTGAACTAAATATACAATAAGACGATAGATACAAGTGAATGTCTCTTTTAATTTATCATTGTAAAGACTTCTCTTTGAGGCCAAATTTGTGATTAGTGCAGCAAACTTTTAGACAATGGTTTGTTGATGTTTTTTTCTCCTATTTGGTGTAAACATATCAAGCATATGGCACTTCCAAACACATCTTTTCCTTCTGTTTCACATGGACATTCTCGAGTCTTTGCCTTCCATGTTGCTTAAATTTTCCTCGGTATTGTGTTTCTTTCCTCTTTTGAGTTTTTAGATAATGCCTGATCGTTGATCATTATTGCTTCATCCTTGGTTGCTTTATATGCTAAATCATTAGAACTACAACTTGTCAATGTATATACTAATTTCTCCTGGCATTGTTGGTATTATTGATGTCTTCATCTTACTCATTATATGTCACTACATTTGCAATTGAGTGCAAGCAGTTATGCCTGTGTAAATGAATGGCAAAACCTAACCCCTTCAAATGACTTGTTCCAGTGCCTATCCCCTTGGCAGCCAAGTCCAGCAAAAAGGACTGTGGATTGGTACAAGTAAACTGATGAGCACCTGACTTATTCATATTTTTGCTTAGACTGTAGATTTGCTAGGAGCAGGCTGGAAATGTATTTGCAGTTTGCAATATGAATATAGAAAGCAGGCAACAAGTAAATGCATCTAAAAGAGTGGTTGTTTATACTTGAAAATGCTTGCAAGTAATTATTGTAGGTAGAAGTTGCAGATGCAGCTATTTTAATGCCTGCATCCATTTCAATGTGGAAAGGAAAGATGAAGAGAAGAGTATCCATATCTAAATTTTTTAGTTGATTGCCGGCAAAATGTGTCTCGCACGCAACTGAATCACTTGTCATGGCCTAAATGAATTCACATGAGAAGTTGGGTCTTGATTTTTCTAATAGCAATTGATGATTATTGGAAGCTTAAAACTATGAGTTGCATGCTAGATTCTTATGGCTACTTAATTTAGATTAAGAAAAGAAGAGCTTACAGGAATCCATAACAAGCTAACATGTCTGGAGGTCAATCCTTGGCATCAGCTGAAATCTTTCAGCCTTCTCTTCAGCATATCCATCGACTTCTTCCGAGCATCCTGCTTCGTGTTTCGGCTCGACAGGCTCCCAAACAACCGATCTGGTGCGTCCTTGAACTTTTCGCAGATGCTCGCAACCTTTTTGTAGTCCAAAGCACCATAATTCTTCTCTCTTATCACCGGATTCATGAAGTTCTCAGGCTGATTGCTCACCAGCAGATTCAACAGCTGCCTCGCTTCCACCAAACAATCTCTGAAGCTTCGGTCTTTCTTCAACTCGCTCAACCCCGTGCTCTGGAACCTTTCAGCCGCAAACGCTTCCAATGTCTTCAGATCATTGCCGATGCCGATGACAGCATTGAGGGTGAACCTCTTCAGACTCTCACTAAGAAAGGCTGCCACGATCGAATCCGAGATATGATTCAGAGCACCGACACCGATCTTGTAGAGAGCTTCTGCGGGCAGAATTTGCTGAGCGGTGGAGATGAGGAAGTCGAGGTAGACAACGACTTCGTGGATGTAGTCGTTCGCGTTCTCTGGAGCTTCATCTGCCGTCCAATTGATGCCGTTCATGAGCGCCAAGTACTCATCCAACTTGGAATCGATCACGTTCACCAACGCATTGTAAGCTGCATTCTGCGACGCCTTGAGGACAGCCTTGGCAGTCAATCCGGCATGAGGCCTTTCCACCAAGCGCAGAGGCACCGAGCAGAGTTGGGCAGCCTGCCACAAGAAGAGATCGCAACTGCCCTCGAGGACTGCTATGTTCGCCGCAATCTGCATCGCCTGCGACACGCCGAGATTACCAGTATGGATCATGTTGAGCAAAGCTTCGTTCAGCACACCGATCACGAGCTTGTCGAGGTACTTCTTGACCACTTCGTAAAAGTTGATGTGACCTCCGTACGACAAGTAGTTGACGGAGTCCTCGATGAAGGAGCGCACGATGCGGCACACATCTGGAACAGAGGAGGAGAAGGGTGCGATGTATGGGAATGCAGGCATTATGTCGGAGGATTGAAGTTGGAACGACAACACGTTCATGTTGTACTCGTACTCCTTCTTGATCACCATCTGTTCGAAGGAATCACTGGCCAGGATGTCGCTGATCTGCTTCCAGCACTCGCTGAGGAGGAGCTCGTGGTACTTGTCTCTGCTGCTGTCGAGCACCTCGAGCAAGGGCGCTACCCGGTAGCCATGGCCGGTGAGAGTGGCCCCGAGAAGAGTGACGAGGTCTTTGATAAGAAGAAGGTGGCTCGCTGTATCGGTGCGGGAGAATTGATCCTCCAGAACGGATGTCATCTTCGCGATGGCCGTCTCCCAGATCGCCTCCACCTGACTGTCCGATAGCAGTCCCCCTGCTGTCCGCCGAACTCGATCCTCCACGATGAAGAAGCCGGCGATCTGCGCGAAGAAGGGCTGGTGGGATTCAAGAAACGGCTGCGCCGACGAGATCTGCAGGTCCAGATTGAGCTGCATCAGCCTGTTCTTGTAGTAGTAGTCGCGGAACTTCTCCTCGATCCCAAGGCAGGTGTGAATGTGATGAGCTCGGTAGACCGGCGTAAGGTCGAACTCCAGCATCGAATCCTCGTCGATGTGCTCGATGTCCAACGCGCACGCGACGTCGCCGACGCCGGTCCGGCTCTGCTCTTCTGCTTCCCTGCGGCGCGCCCGCTTCTCCTCTTCTCTTTGCCGGGCGGAGGAAGCCTGGCCGATGGCCAGCTGCCCGATCTCCTTGGCCGCGCTCCTGATGTGGACGAGCCAGTCGTTGAACTCGCTGCAGACCTTCTTCTCGATGTGCAGCTTGAGCGCAGGTATCTGCTTCTCGATCACCTTCCTCAGGGGCTTGAGAGGGGTGTTCTGGATGTAGTTGCGCTCGATCATGTCCAAGGTCTTGAGTGCAGGGTAGAAGCGGCTGTTGGAGACGTGCATGTTGCAGGTGAGGCAGAGCTTGGAGACCTGGACGCAGACCTTCAATGTCTGTAAGGCCTCGGTGACGTTCTTCTTGATGAGGTACAGCTCGAGGAGCTCCTCCAGCCGCAGCAGAAGCGCGCTGGCCACCTCCTGCAGCCTGAGATTCTCGCTCGACAGCATGCTCTTCAGCTCGTCGGCGTCGACCAGCACGCCACGCAGCTCGTCGACGGCGACGATGAAGTCCTCGTAGTGAAGCTTGCACAGCTCTTCGATCTCCACCTCCTTCTTCCTCACGATGTTCCTGAGCTGGTGCAGGAGGGCCTCGGGCTTGCCGGACTCGAAGGAATGGCGAACCGCAGGGCCCAAATCCTCCCCGTTCCCGATGGAGGTCGCGAGGACTACATCGACGCCGCCGTCCGCGTGTTCCACCACGGTTCGCCTCCTGGACGGGGCATGCAGCATCATCCCGGAATCTGCAGCAAACATGAAGGAGATCAACCAGGACGAAAGGAAAGATTGCTACATTGAGGCTTAAGATTCATCTCCACCAATTAGGGAGGAGGTCAGCTTTATATCATGCATACTTACGTTGTCTTAAAACTCCGTCTCTACCTCCAAACAAAAAAAAAAAAGAATCGAACTTTTTTTCGCAGAAAAAGTTCTACACCGCATAGAACAAATCATAAGCAAATTAAAAGGCGGCTCTCCTCTTTTACGGAAATACGGAGATCAGGAATCACAGAGACGCCTTCTTTTGCCATTAACGAATTGAAGAAAATACAATCTTGGAAGGACCAAGATCCGCAGGTAAATCTACCAAGAAGGCTGCTCCTTTTTGACAGAAATGAGGAGAGAAAGCATCACAGAGGTACCTTATGTTGATACCCACAGGCGACTGCAGGAAAATAAGCGTCTTGGAACGATGGAAAAACATAATATTTCTTTTATTGCCCTTTACATATCAAGTTTTATTGCCCCTAAGTCATATAAGTGGAGGTTTTCTATGCGTGTGACTCGCTCGCAGATTACCTCCGCGCGCGACTCGGTCTTGGCGGGGGCGAAGGTGAGGCCGCCGCGGAGATAGGGGAGACGGCGCGGCCAGTGCCCCAGGACTTGGCCGAGGTCTGGTGACCGGCGCGCTTCGAAGCAGCGTAAGGCTGGCGTCCGTTCTTAGCGAGGTTGCCGTGAACGAAGCGAACGACGTCCGGGCGAATCAGCGCCCTCCCAGATGCCGAGAAGACCAATACAGCCAGGGGATCCGCCCCTGCTACGGAAAGATGCGGAACCGACGATACATCTCGCGCAAGGGCCCCTCTGATCGTCTATGGCACCGAGGGTTCCAAGATCGTCAAAGCCTTCCGCGCGCCTCAACCGGCTGAGGTTGGCTCCGGGAGGCCACATCGGCCGGTTCATCTTCTGGACTCGGTGTCTGGTACCTTTGATGAGCTACCCGAGAAGAAGAAGGGGTACGCGCTGCCACGGCCGAAGATGGTGAATGCTGATCTGTCGAAGATCATCAACTCAGACGAAGTGTCATCTGTGGTGCGGCCGATCAAGAAGGAGGTGAAGAGGCACACTCTAAAGAAGAACCCGCTGGAGAATCTATGCATGCTGCTGAAGATGAGCCCATACGCCAAGAATGCCAGGAGGGTCGCTCTGCTTGCTGAGGCGCAGGCCAAGGAGGAGAAGCTCGACAAGAAGAGGACTCAGCTCCCCCAGGCAATAAAATTCAAGTGTTATCTTTTAATGTATCTTATTAGTTGGGGTTTGTTCTTTTGGTTTGCTTAGTTATATAGTTAGCTACATTTAATCTTTATATTTTTAAAAATTATATTATATTTATATAATTATAAAAGTAAAATATTATATCTATTTATGATTAATTATATATTTTTTTATAGTTAATTGTCCTCAGTATTTCAGTTCCAATATTTTAAAAAGTTTGACACCTCTATAGTTATAAAAATAAAATATTTAAATATATTTATCCTAGCGTTATTGATTTTACTAATAAAATTATAAATATAAAATATAAAAAAATAATTTTAATATTTTAATTGATGGTGACGAACGACGTTAATGGTGATAGACGATGATATTGCTGGGGACACGAATGTGTGTTATCGATGAGGAGAGTGGTGACAAGAAGTGAGAGTCGCTCTATTGCTATGTCGACACCAACATAGTTGTCAAGTGATCATTTCGTTACTTTGCATCTACATCGTTATCGATATAGTTGCCAAGTGACGAATGGATGGCTCGGCATTTGCATCAACGACGATGCAAATACAAAGCGACAAAAGGGCAAATCGATAATTAATCGACATAGATATAAAGCGACCCTCATATCTTGCCATCGCTCTCATCCATAACATCCACTTATGTCTCACAATGATGTCATTATCCACCACTATCACAATCGATACCATCCATCATCATTAATTAGAGTATTAAAATTATTTTTTATTTTATTTTATATATTTTTATTAATAAAATCGATGATGTTAGGATAAATGGATATAGATGTTTCCCATTCGTAATTATAAGAATGTTAATATAATTTTTTAAAATATAAATATTAAATAAAATACTAAAGATAGCTAACAATTGATAATTAACCCCCTCTCTTTATCTTGCTATGCTAATCTGGCCGTGCTCAGTTGACGAGGACATCTCTCTAATTTGTTCCACTCCAAGGAAGAGAGAGAAAAGTCCAAAGCCTAGTAGGGGGTGTGGCATAGGAGCCCCATATTTTGGAATCCCCTGGAAAACATAGGAGGAGCTGTCGTTCCCCATCGATGGCAGCGTCGCCTGGATGTGGATGTTGTTCCCCATCGATGACGGCGTCGCCTGGATGTGGATCTCGCCTGACGGTCCGTGGTTCAGCTCCTTACATATATATATATGTGTATATATATGTGTATGGCGGTAGGTCGATGCAGCACTAACCAACTCCTTTAATATATTCCTTGGTTACGAAGAAAAGTACCTTAAAACAACTTTAACTTTGTGCAGGGAATATATTGATGAGCTATCATATTTGAGTGGGCTGAGTTGAAGATTATGAGGCATCATTATTGGCTGATAAAAATATCATATCATAATCAATGTTCATATGATCAGATTGTAGTAAATTAGACACTCCCGTGTCAATCTCCCCTGGTTGAAAAAGACTTATCCTCAAGTCATTGTTTGATTCATCAATATGATTATAAAAAAGACTTAAATCAATCACATTAAATATTGGGGATACTCCGTAATCTTTAAGTAGCTCAATCTCATAAGCATTTTTGTCAATTCTTTTAAGCACCTTGAATGAACCATCAGCCTTTGGTTTCAATTTTTCAAATTTGCCCGGTGGAAACCTCTCATTCCTTAGATGAATCTAGACCAAATCACTTGCATTAAACTCTACATGTTTTCTATGTTTATTGGCAGCTTGCATGTACCTCTCATTTTGCTTCTCAATGGTTGCTTTAACATTCTCATGCAGCTTCTTTATATGCTTAGCTCTTTCATCAGCATCTCCACTAAATTGCTTTGTTGTAGAATGAGGGATTAAGTCCAAAGGACCAGTAGGATTAGTACCATAAACTATCTCAAAATGACTCTTACAAATACTATGATGCATAGAACGATTATAGGCAAACTCAATTTGTGGAAGAATGAGACCCCACAGCTTAATATTCTTACCAACATAGCTTCTAAGCAAATATCCCAAGCTTTTGTTCGTTACCTCAGTTTGCCCATTGGTTTGTGGATGATGTGAGCTGCTGAAATTCAAAGAAGTATCCAACTTCCTCTAAAGAGTTTTAAAAAAATGATTGAAATTTTGAATCTCGATCACACACCATAGTTCTTAGAATACCATACAATTTAACAATCTCCTTAAAATACAAATCAACAATATGAGATATATCATTCGATTTATTGAAAGGAACAAAGTGAGACATTTTTGAAAATTTGTCAATAACAACCATGATAGAATACTTGTTCCTTTGAGTTCTTGGTAGTCTCAAAATGAAATCAAGACTCACATATGTTGAATCTCATATTTTGATGATGAAACCAATTGATATATGTTTATGTTTTAATCTGCGTTTTGAGTGACGCAGGATGCTTTGATCAGGATGAGACAATTAAAGCAAGAAAAATCATGTTGTGCCGGAGGAAAACATGTTAGAAGATTGGACGTCGGGCCGGAGGAACGGTCGACGTATCGACAGAAGGCTTCGGGCCATGGATTCGGGCATCGGGCCAAGAAGAGCGGAGATTGCGCTAAGGATATCGGAGTTGCGGAGTCAACTAGCCGATTGGGCAATAGGTCACAAGAGAGGACGATGCGTCGAAGAATCGGACGAAGCATCGAAGGACCAATGATATGCCGGACAACTTGATTAATGCTTAGTATTAAATGTCTAGATCGAAGTGTGTTTTTACTTGTGCAAGATTAACTACGATAGCATGGCATGAAGCAAAATGAAGTCTCAGAGTCAAGGACGCGATTATGTTGGGAGTTCGAGAGTTCGTTGGAAGTCCGAAAGTTCATCAGAAGTTTAGGAGGAACCAGCCAAGAAGTCTCGAAGCTTGCTAGAGAAGCTCGTCGGAACTCGCCAAGAAGATCATCGTGAAGTCTAGGAGCTTGCCGGGAGTCTGCCAGAACATTGCAGAGAGATCGTCGGAAGTTCACCGGAAGCTCGCTGGAAGAATAGATTTACGGACTTTATTTAGCTTAGAATATGTCTTAGGAATCATAGTTAGCACGTAATTGAGATTGGATTTGGACCAACCGAATTAGGGGCCAGCTAGGCCCACGTAAGAACTGTGTTGGGCCCAATAAGAAGCCCAAATAGTGCCCCAAGAAGTCCCACCATCATGGCATAGTCTTCGAGACTATGTCAGGCGATGGTACCGCTAGTCTGGGTGATTGTACTGCCCCTGGCAGGGTGCCAGGCGGTGGTACCGCCAGTTTGGGCGATGGCATCGCCCAATATTACACCCCAGGCGGTGGTACCGCCCAGCACAGGCGATGGTACCGCCTGTGCCCGGGGGAACCCGAGATGGAAAAGTTTTAGGCTCCAAGTTTGAAGTAACTTGAAGCCTATAAATACCCCTCTCATCCCTGGTTAAAGTACACAAGTATTGAGAGAAAAAAAGTATCAAAACGCTGCTGCAATCTTGTGTGAGCTCCTCTCAAAGATCTAAAGTGTTAGAATAGTTTGAGAGAGGAGTGAGTAGGGGTGTAAGGGTTATCTCCTAAACCCGGTAAAAGGAGAATTGAGTTGTAAAAGGTGATTGACCTTCGCCTATTGAAGGAAGGCCTCTAGTGGAAGCCGGTGACCTCTTCGGAGGAGGAAGCCGAAAGTGGATGTAGGTCACGTTGACCGAACCACTCTAAAACTCTGGTTTGCATTTACTCCCTGCCATTTACATACTGCAAACCTCTTTAATAGCTTACTACCTTCAATATGTTTACGTACGCTTTCAAAGTATTACCTTTACGAAATGGTTTTTCGTCGGAAATAGTTTTTATCGTACGAAGTTTTTTAAACCGTCATTATCTTACCGCTGCACTAATTCACCCCCCCTCTTAGTGCCGACCCTTGCTCCTAATAATTGGTATCAGAGCCATGGTTTTCTAATTTGGTTTAACACCCAAATAGAAATAGCTCTTTTTGACTTTCAAGAGGGTTACTCTCTCATTCGTCCTCCTTTTTTCAATGGGACGGACTACACTTATTGGAAAACTCAAACGAAAGTTTTCTTGCTTTATTTGGATTTGAACTTATGGAGCATTGTGGAATCCGGTTTTAAAAGGTCTTCTCTTCCAATAAACATTTGGAATGATTTGGAGAAGAACACGTTTTCTTTAAATGCTAGAGCTATGAATGCTCTATTTTGCACTTTAATCGAATTTCTATATGCGAAATAAATTTTGACATATGGCACACTCTCGAAATTACACACGAAGGCACTAGCAAAGTTAAGAATTCTAAAGTCAACTTTTTAATGCATGATTTTGAACTTTTTCATATGAAATCAAGCGAAACTGTTGTTGACATGTACACCCATTTTACGGATGTCGTCAATGGTTTAAAAGTACTTGGTAGAAGTTTTTTGGATTTTGAACTTGTAAACAAGATTTTGCATAAAGAACTTGAAAACCACCTTCCAAAGAACATGAAGGATTTCAAACAGAGAACATTTGAAGACCACTCGAGCATAAGCTCAAGTGATGGTGAACATAAACTTGAACTCATAAAGAAATTTTAAAAATTAATGAAACAAAAATTAAAGAACAAAAAGAACG